CGCCTTGTGTGGATGGTGCACATTTGCCTGTGTCTGTGCTAAAGTTTTTCCTCTCCTCATCCTTCTGTGTCTGCCAGTTTTAGACGTCGGGTACTTTAAAGTTTGCGGGTCCTCTCCCCCTGAACGGCGGCCAAATAATGAGTGGAGTTCCCTCCTAATCAGTGAACAGAATATGAAACTTGAGACATTTCTGGGGCTGAAACGAATCGCTGGACGCTTCAAAGCTTCATATATATAACATTGACATTCAAATTCTAAATCAACATTGAAATGCTGGGCAGCTTCCACTTGAACTTAAGCAGGGATTTGCCTAAAATGTGTGAAACACATGAAACGGTTGAATTGATATGAGAAGGTTCCAAACGTCCCGGGTGGTTCATAGTTAGAATGAAGCTTCTTACTCATTTCCATCATAACTAAACTAAAGGGAAATGTAAATGTCTTGGTTCTACCATATTTAAAAACATCAGTTAATATAGAACTTGTACATTTTGAAGCTTTTATGTGTCTTAAAAAAGGCGGTTGTAAACAAGTGGCTGAATGAGACTACAACACGTTATCAAGCAGAACACCGGTCTGCTTGTAGCTTCACGGTGGTGACGTGAATGAAAGCCACCGTGGATTAGTGTGCTTATAGCGAGACTATTCTGCTGAATGAAACATGTACAGTAAGTCTCATGAAGGTTTTTTTTTTTTTTTTACCACACAGAGTTTATTTTCTGCAATAACCCAAAATCCAATGGAAAAATCCTGTTGGGAACCGGAGTGATGCTAACTTCCTGGTTGGCCTACAAAAAAAACTTTATACAGTTATGATTGTGTTATGCAAGCCTGATACACACCCATTCAGGTGAGTGTTATTCAAGAAAGTAACACAAGCTGTAACAAACATGGTATCTTGCTTTTAGACACATTTCTAAGCTACATCTTTGACCTAACTCGTGGTTGTGTAACATGAGCAGTCACGCTTCAGAGAGGCAGGTGATGTTAAGGTGAGACGAGGCTTCAAGAAGTTACATCCAAGTTTGTTTTACGGGCTGGCTCGTTGTAAAGTAGGTCATCAACTTTACACTCTCAGCACACATTTACACACCTTGAAGCCTGTGTGAGCTGGTTGTATTTGTGTTACCTGAGCATTATATTTGTGTGATTTAGAGCGGACGCTGTAGTTTCATATTCTACTGTAAGGACCTTTTCCTGATTATATACTTAGATACAAATTCAAGTTCTGTCCATTGAAATGAATCCTGAAATAGACCGATGAGAAGAGGGCAGCATGAACTGCGTTTTACAACAGCTGAAGCTCCTTTTTTCAGAATGTCAAAAAGGGCTAGTTGGTCAACAAGATTAAAAGCCTTTTTTGTTGTCGACTTACAACAGACGAAGAAAAACAAGAAAGAAAAGAAACCTCACTCCCTCCGTCCATTCACTCCCATTGGGATCAAATGGAAAAGATAGTTTTGGAGCAGAAGCTGAGGCGTGGGTTGGAGGAGCAGAGCGCCAAACCTCAGCCACTGCCGACAAGCACGGCTTAGTCTCAGAGGGTGAAGGAGTGGGAGGCGATGAGGGGGGAGAGAGGGGTGACAAGGTGGGGGAGGAGGGCTGAAGCAGGAAATGAGGCACTGGGGAGTATTGCCAAATCCAGCAGCGGTCAGAGAAGACATGGCGGGACTGAGGCTCAAACAAGTTTCCCCTCTTTAGAGAAAGGATCTGTAAAGAGCGTAAAGACTTTCCACACCTTTACATACTTCTGTTTGCTATTGTTAATGTGACTTTGTTGCTAAGAGCTCTATCTACAATTTTTTATTCTAAAATAATCACAATAAACCACAGAGCAAATTAGACAAAGGTTGGGTGTCCTTTGTCCAAACAACAGCCACTCTCATTAAACTTGGTCTGTGATATTGCACCTCTGCTCTTTTCGCCTTAAAAAAATAAATAAAATAAAATCACGTTTTATTTTTAAAAAGTGCGTTGATTGTTTCTGATGTTAGTAGAGGCAGTCTGTATTTCAGGGTAGGTGTCCCACCTCCACAAATTAACACAGTATAAAATTCAGACTTTATGAAAAAAGACTTTGATTATCATTGCAAACAGCTGCTTCAGAAAGTGGGCCATAATAAGGTTGTATGCAGATTACCAGTATTTGTCACCTACGCATGTTGTCATGGTTTGATTCACACGGATCCCTTAACATATGAAAGCAACTATGCAGCTGAAGTTTGGACACGCGAGGCTTCTTTGAGGCTTTACTTGCTCGCTCATGTTGCTTTGAAAACTCACAACCTGACATTCAGTGTAATATACTTAAGCCACTTTTGTAGCTATTGGGTGTTTACATTATTTTGTCTACCTTGAGCATATGGATCCGTCTGTATTGATGAACTTCTCTTTGGGCTTGTAAAAACTTATAGAGCACCTGCTTTGCTTGTCACTCACTGGAAACAAGCAGAACGCAGACTTATTCTGTGTTTTTCTGCGGTGGTTCCTCTTCACTGATCAGTGTATTTGGTCTCCGCAGACCGCCTCTCATTTCTTTCCTAGAACTACAAAAATGTCAGTTCCCCCTCAGCTCATTGTGCAGAGACCACCACATTGTAACAATGATCATTTCAGTGAGCAAAGACTAGATCATATCACAGGCTAGTACAACTTGTAACTCTAAGAATACACACTGGCAATAGATGTTTCGTTTTTTTTTCGCCCGGCAGCCACAGTGAAGCTATCTATGGCAGCGCAGCCTCCACCTGCTGCAACAGGACACAGCAGCAGTGAGAGTGGCCTGGTATCATCTCAATCTCATAAATCTCATAAAGTCAGAATATGACACAATGTTTGAGGACACGAAAAAAGCCAAGAGGAGCTGACACACTGAAATAGTAAAACGCACACTGACACACACTCAGGCAAGCAGTAGCAGACAACCACAGCGCACCAGGAAAAACATATCCAGATGTTCTGCGCATAAGATCACCAACCCCCTCCTACACACATACACACACAGACTTGTGGGCCACACATGGGCTACATATTACAGAGGCTTGCTCTCCAACTTCTCTTTCCTCCCCTTTCTTTTTCATGCATGCACACGCTCACGCATTTGTACAGCTATATTTGTGAGGACTTTCTTTGACATAAAGCATTCATATCCTTAACTTTAACCATCACAACTAAACCCCAAAACACACCAGAGCGGTCGTGAAGTGCGGCGAGTTATGACCGTTTTCACTCCTGTGACATGTTGACCTATGTTACAAAGAATTTCTTCCAGGAAGTCCAGTTTGAGTAACAGATCCATTAGTTTGAAAGCTTATCAGACACCAAAACACTGCACAGAGGCCTCATCCTTAACTGAACTGCAACTATAAAATATGTTCATGTACGGTTGATATTCCAGTTATTCCCTTGATGAATAGTTTGGTTTGTAAAATGCCAGAAAATAGTGAAAAATGACCATCACGTCCTCTCAGAGTTCAATGTGACGTCTTCTAACGTCTCGTTTTGTCAGAACAAAAGTCCAAAACTCAAAGACATTCAGTTCACAATGATATAAAAGAGAAAAGCAGTAAATCCTCACGGTGGAAAAGTTGGAACCAAGGAACAGTTGGTGTTTCTACTTGAAAAGTTACTATAGATTATAGTTGCAGATTAATTTTCTGTCAATTGACTAACGTATTAATCGTGTCAGCTCTAACCTAAAACCAATTCTAACTTTTATCCCTTTAACAATTAAACAATTGTGTCAAACAATTTCTGGCCTGAAGGTCCTCCCAAGGTTTAAAACTGGAGTTGGTCCACACACACACACACACACACACACACACACACACACACACACACACTCAAGACTTGCAGTTATTGAACCTACTCTTTTAGCCCCTCCTCTCCTCCACTAGAGCTCCTGGCAGGCCGTCTGGTTGAGGCCCATAGTAAAGGGAGCCGTTTTCTCTGGCAAGAGTGTGTGTGTGTGTGTGCGTGTCCTCGGGCCCCAGACAGGAAGGAAGAGAGTGGGCCCGGCAGCACAGCTTCAGAATTCCGGTTTTGTTTTTCTTCTTTTTCCATCAGTGCAGAGCCTGAGTCGGGTCTTAAAGAAACAGTCATTAATATTTTCCCCTCTTAATGACGCCACACTGTTCTCGGAGACCTCCACAATTAGACCCAGTATGATTCATTACAGTACTACGTAAACGTGGTACCAGTTTCTTCAATAAAGAAGTCCAATGAATGAATAGGTCTTTTATGGCTCAGATGAATCTGTTCCTGGAGAAAGCACAGCGTGCGTCTGAGTGTGGCCTCAGGCTCATTTTCATTGAGCGTCTAAAAATAAAATAACTGGTCCAGCATCAGCGATCAGGTTACGTGAATTACTCAGGGGGTGAAATATAAGGATTTTGGACACAAGCAGGGCAGGTGTATTTAGCTGCCACCCCCGTGTTTTTGTAATAAATCATCACTCACAATCTGGCAAAAAAAGGGTTGAAAATGAGCACTGGATGACAGCTCACGGCTCATGAACTTAATGTCTCTGCTGAGGACAATAAAGACAGAAAAGTCATGCATTTCTTGGGTAACCTCTCGAGCTCTGTGGACCAATCAGAGCAGGAATAAAGTAACCTTAGTGACATCATCGATTTGGCAACGATTATGAAAACAAACGCTCTTTCCCTCGTTACACAAAAAGAGCCCCGTGTTGTGAAAGAGCACCCAGATTGATTTTATCAACTGATTTCAGAGAGATACACGTGAAAAACATGTATTAAGAAGGTACACAATAAGTTACTTCCAATGTATAAAAGGATACAAAGACAAGAACAAGACGCTTATCTTTCAAACTGCAGTAATTACAATCAGCCATTCAGCCGTCCAAATAGCACCATCATTTCAACTTGAAGTATATCAACTGCCTTTATTTTACATTTTGTTTCATTGTCAACAATCCAGTCAGGAGAGCAAAACCAACAATGTGTTAGTTCATCTCTCAATGCTTTCTGTGTGTGGCTCTCAGCCGTCAGCCAATTAGTTCTCGGGACACAAATATACATATATAATATATGTATAATTTCACTTGAAAAAAGGCAACATAAGTTACTTAAACAGTGAGGTAATGTAGATTTTAACAAACAACACTCAAGAAGAAAAAGATAATGCATTGGTCAAAGAATATTTTGCGGCCCAGGTTCACACTAGTGAGTATTTACTTACTAAGGAGGCAATTCAACTTCTCTCATTGCTTCTTCTAATGATGGCCGTAAACAAACACGAAGTATCTGTGGACGGCTAACTCAGCGAATAAGGTCAAACTCAGGTTCCTGTTTCTCCTCTTTCTGCAACTTAAAAATGCTGCTGAGTGCATCTAAAATAATAACTGTGTGTAACTCACGGACATGTTGGTTGTGATTACCGTTTGCAGTCGATGTGCTTTTTGATGAAGAAGAACATTTCATTCTGATGCCTTTCTGCGGGAGCCTGCACGTGCACAAATAGATTTAAATACGCCCACACGGTTAGTGCAAAGGCAAGTATGAAAGTCTCTTGCATGTTTCTACACTTTTGTACACGCACACACACACACGCACACGCACACAAACGCACAGTGACTTGTAGCAGCAGGTCCTTCCGTCAGCAGAAAAGGGACTGCGCTCTCAGCACTCTTGTAGAAGAACAACTTCTCTAATATTCAACTCCTTCACTTCTGATAGCTCTTTGTCAAACAACCAGGCGCCGTACATCAGCAGTTAAGGCTCGGTGTGCATTTAAAGTCCAGTCGGGAAAATGTTCCCAGACCGTGTGCAAGTTTGCACATTTTAAGTGTGATCAACAACAGTGAGAGAACACTGCATACGTGTTTCTGTTCACGGTGTTGGTGCGACCCCATTTCCTTTACACCACAGCTCGACCTCTCTCTGGGGCCGCCATCTTTAGGCCTCCTCTCGTCTCTGGAGATGCAGACCGATCTCCATCTGGTTCTCCAAACAGTCCTTGAGTTTGTCCTCTGTCAGCGTCAGACGCTGCTCCAGGATCGAAACCGTCTGGGTGGAGGCAACAAGAGGAGACGGACAAGACGAAGAAAGAAAGGGGAAGGGGGGGGGGGGGGGGGGGGGGGGGGGG